TTCATAACACAGAGGTTGAAAGGTCAAATGAATAAAACTGTCTCACTCTGTCACAGCCTGAATGAATCACAGACTTGTCTCACAATTATTGCTGAAAAAATTATTTACTTTTAAAACCTTTTACACCTTCTGTGTCCTCTGACTTCACTTTGATTATATTTTGAAAAGTGTTTTCTTTGGCAGGACATTGTGCTTGCTAATCAGAAAATAAAATTGGATTGTTGAGTTTCTTGCCAGGCACTGGCCAGGACTAATCTGCTTGATAATCGTCCCATTTTCGACAACTGCCAATTTCTTTATTCATCAATATAGTTTTTTTCATACATTTTTCTTTCTGTCATTTGGATGAGGGAAAAAAGTACAATGGTACATTATCATTGGTTTCCCACAGTGGCTGAATAAAGTCAACACTTAATTCCCACTTCTATGATTAACCTAAAAACATAACCTAACAGTGCTGCTGAGGAAGCAGATAAATTCTCATATTCCCCAAATGCACCCAAATTCTCCCTGATGCTCCAGAATTTCTGCTGGCAACTGTCCAGTCACATGTCTGCTTGTTTAACCTCAAAGCCTCCACCACAACACTGCTGCTCCTCCAAAATAAAGACAAAAGGTATTTCTCTGGCTTTATCCTTCCTACAGATAAAAGTTAATGTGACCAAAAGCTCCTGTGTTTGTGTCCTAAAGGAAAAAATCATGAATACTGTTTTTTTTTTCGATTCATCTACTTGCTAAACCAGCCCTGAAATGCTGGTGATTTGTTCAGTTTTAACTTAAAGGCAATACAAAGAAGTGGAAATAGTTACTTCATGGGACTTTTGACATCCTGCAATTAGGAGTGGAAATAATTTTTTGCACAATTACACAAATATAATAGCACACAGCAGTAAAAGCGCCACATATGAAGTGAAATTACAAGTTGTCATTGGGTTCTTGTTGGAAAATGTAATAAACAACAAACTGGCCAAAGCAAATATGGAAGAGAAATTCTAAGCTCTTATTTTCAAATGCCTGACTACTGGAGTTTCTTCCTTTTTTTCTTTTCTCGTATTTAGAAACAAAAGCAAAAATGAATACCAAATAAATCTATGAACTGCTGTTTATTTAGTTATCTTGTTCAGTATGCTTGCTTGTTCTTATAGAAAAATGTGTGCCAAATTACTGTCCATAAAGGCTTTGATCATTTCCACAAAAATGTTGCTGCTTTGCTTCTGCTTTTACGTTTTAGCTGTTAGTCACAAAACATGGCCTTCTGAAACCTGATGAAGCATTGATTTTTAATGCCATAAGAGAAGAACATTGATAAAACTCAAATTAACAGAGATTTGTTCATTTGAGTTGTAAATTAACAGTATCTGTGAGACATCACAGTATCTGTGAGACATTTAATAATCAAAGTTAAAATTTGATTGTTACCTTGATAAACAATCAGTGGTGCAACTTAGCATAATGTCTTTTACTTTATTTCAGAGAACACCTTTTTTTTCCCTGTACCCACACTTTTTTCCCCTCATCTGTTAATTTATTCACATTTAACTCAAACTATGAAGTGGATTATATAGATATTCTGTGACTGAAAAAAGCTCCACAAGAACCCCATCCCACAATGCCTGAGGTGACAGGGGGCTGAGAAAATTCCCTTGGCTTTACTGGGCAATCCCTTGATAAATAAACTGGAAGGAAAGACCACCGCTGCTATCTGTAAGCTAATACTCCTCTAGAGAAGGGATGGCCCAGGGCTTGGCCCAGATGAAGCTAATTGTCTTGCTGTGTTCTTTTTGCACTCTGTAGCCTTAGGAAGATTTATTCATAAAACACGCGCACACGCACGCACACACACCTACACACACACACACTACACATTTAGATCAGAATACAGGGGTACAATGTTTCATCTACTCATTTGCACTCCTTTAAATTTAGCATACATCATGCATATTATGTTGTCTTGCAAAATAGAAAACAAAGATGCAATCTGTCATGTATCTGCTGCAGACTGCAGTAAAAGTCGGGTTTCATTTGACAGCTCAAATGCACAGGAAATTCATGTCTTGTAATTCCCTAAAGAGCTAGCCTGCGGACTGCACACATCCCATCAATCTTCTCCCTCCATCAGTCTCAGTCCTTAAGCAATAATACAAGGAATGTTGTACAAAATAGTTGAAATTGGGACGGAATAAAAACAGCAAACTGGTGACCAAATACATGTACGCTGTACACAACGTAATTCAAATTGGAACTCTGAGCCCAGATATGATTTTTATTCTCACGTCATCATCAGCTTAGAAGATATTTGGCTCTGATTTAGTTTGTGTCATTATTCAGCATGTTGTGAGATTGTCCCACAAGATTCAATGGTCAGCAGCTCTGTCCTCAAAGGACATGTCTCAGTTTCTCAAGAGTATACTGTTTATTGTCCCTGCAAAGACTCTGCATGCTGTTTACTCAGTTCTCTGTTTAGTTAGCAAAAGAACAATTTGTACTATCATTATTGTTTTGAAATGAAGCACTTTCTCCAATCTTCTCTGGCTTGTTTAGAGGTCCTGTGATTTTGAACTTTTTCACTGAGGTATGCATGCAAAAATAATGGCGTAATATAAACAGAACTGAGAGCGACCTCCTTTGCGTGTTCATGTTTACCTTTTTGTCTTTTTTTAGAATAGCAAAGTGTCAGACAATGGAAGGTGAAAAATGGCATTGGTCTAAATGGAGGCCTAGACTAGTCTCATAAAAAGATTACATTCCTTGTTTTTTTTTTTCTTTTTACAACAAAAATAGTACCCTAGAACAAACACGTTTCTTGCTGAATTGAAATTACAACTTATTAGTATATATTTAAAATTAATGTAAATACAGCACTTGCATAAAATTGAATAGCAAATGTTGACATTGTATTCAATTTAAGATTTTACACATTGTTATGTGTCAATGTTTATTAACCTTATATTTTGCTTATTTTTTTTACATTTATGAATTATTTGTATGGTGCTTATAAGCATATTTGAATTTTTTTTTCTTTAAATTACTACATGTGCATTACGTGGAACTTCAAGAAGCATAAATACCCTGTTCTCATTTCCACATCTACTTTTTACATCTTATTATATAGACATTTTTTGCTGTTAAGGTTATTTTTTTACCCTCTCCTCCTCTGTGATCATTTGCCAAGCTAGACTTCATTGTGCATAATGTTTGTTAAAATATATGCTGCATACTCTCGATTAGCTTAATTATTTAAGGTAATATGCAGCATAAGAAAAGTACAAGCACAAAGAAAATCAGGGCTCATGCAAGGCACATTTTCTCTCTTCACATTACTTAGCCAAAACAGCTGCTGTACTCTTATTTCTTTTTCCAGGGACAATGAAATGTATATGTGTGTGGATATATCTTCTGTGTTTACATGTGTGGCTGTCTGCATGTGTGGCTGTGGGCTGCTCTACCACATGTGAGTGTGTTTTATGGTTCCAGAGGGAGTTAAGGTTAATGCAGTAAAACAACCTTCCTCGTGCCCAGTGTCTGCTTAAAGAGTGGATTTACTGTGCATGTAGTCAGGAAAAGGTTTAGAGCAAACGGCTACGGTGAAGGGTGAAGTTCTTTTCAGTGGTTTAGGTTGTTATGGTGTGAGTTCTAATTTCAAAACCACTGACTTTCACTGAGAGATGCAGTTGCTTTTATACAAGTTTTATTTGCATGCTACAAGAAACAATTAATCAGCAACACCTAGAAAGAAAGTGAATTTATACTGATATCCTAAACAATATATGAGCTCTTAAATATCCTGCTTTCTTTGATCAACTCTTATAGCTCATCAAGATTATTATTATTTTTTTTTTCCGCAATGTTGGAGTCAATTGTTTTGAGAAATACTGTCAACTTAAACTTCCAAAGAATAAAAAAGTAATGTGATCCACTGGTGGCAAGTGTGGTCTAAAAAATATCTCATGTCAGGAAGAACACTGAAGTAACCATATAATGATATAGCAAAATGGTAAGGAGGTATCATTATACATGTCCCTGGCGCATAGTGCCATTTTATAGCACAGTCAAGAAATTATGTTACCTTTAGTTTTCTATAAATATGCTGAATATATTAAAACTTAACACATGATAAAATTTACTTAATCTTTATTCAAGTTAAATCCTCATTTTTAGGACAGACCTGTTTTAATATATATAAAAAACATCTTGTTAAAAACAAAAGAAAGTCTGTACTGCTATTTAATAATTATTCTACTAAGTATTTATTCTACTAAAACTGTAGGTTCATCTAACAATTTGCAAAGATTGTGCTTATCAGAATTAATTAAACTGACTGGCATCATGACTGCTGTTTTTGTATGTTACAATATGAATTTCAAACCAGAGGTAAAAAAAAAAAGTATTGTGAAGTTCAGTTGGCTCTTACATGGTAGAATGACTCATCTCTGTAGATAAAGCAGTGCTGGCACTGATCATTTTAAGGACCTATTCAGTCAAGCATAGAAAAGCCATCACAATCTGTCTCTTTTGCTAATTGAAGATCACTTAACAACACTGCCTCAAGGCTTTTAAGCCAATGAGATGGCATTGATTTTAGTCCCTTTTTCTTCAAAGATCCTGCTTTCACCTTCCCTCTGCTGCAAGGTTTAATTGCTCACAGGAGATATTTGCTACCATTGCCAAATGTGCACATGTGCGCTTACCTCCATGATGTAGTGGAATGTTCTAAATTTACTGTCAGTCCTTCAGGCACTAAATCACTCATTGTAACTGTTTTTACTTCATCACACCTCTGTCTTTATGTACACCTTTGCATTTACTTTAGTTACTTATCTGACAACCAAAATAGCATTCTCTATCTGAGACAGACCCCAAATATCTCATAGTTCACTTGTTTTTAATACTTTCATATTTGTAGGTGTCAGTGAGGGATTTGCAAGCCACCCTGTAGCTTCACCCACACATTCATACATTCTCCTTGCTTAGCAGGTGTGTGTGCTGTGCTCTCTCCACAGGTGGACAAGGTGTGTGGCCTGTCTACACGGGAACCCCCAGGCATGTGGTCTGTGAGACCAGAGGTCACAACCTTAACTTCACCTTCTCCATCTACCTCCTCCGCCTCCCATATTTTACCAGAAGAGAGACTAGCAAGGTTTGCCCACTTAAAAAGGTAGGTAAAAGCTTTGAGTTAATGTGAAACAAACTTCAGAAATTCTTGACTATCTACTTTATGTCTATATTCACTCTACTGTTAGTCATAGATTAAGGGGTTGGATATCATTGATCCAAAACTATTACAGCTTCTGTCACTTCACACTGTTATCCAGTGTTTATTTGGAGTCAAACGCATACACACAGACAAAGTAACTGCTTTCCAGCACCACCCATACTCCCCACCTGGTTCCTGGAGCAACCATCGTGTGCCCACAGCAGCTGGTAGGCAGGCAGAGCCTTGGTAAGATTAATCTTGACAGACCACACAATTTCCTGTTTACCCAGACGACCACACCTCCAGCACTGCATGCCAGCCAGTGCCGCATTGGAAAGCACACACAGATGAACTAAAGCACTGTTGAGTGCTTGACCTCGTCCCACTCTGTGAATCGCTGCACTGATGCCAAGCCTAGCTGTCATGGCTGGCATGGCACTGCCACGGCCGTTCATAGCAACACAATCCAGTTCACCCGCTTGTTGCCAGCTCTGACCAGAGCTTGTGTGAGCCCTGAAGACTTCAAAGCCACAGCAGCAAAAGAAGAATAATGGTTGGAAAATGTGAAAGATGATAGAGCCTAGCATTTTTTTTTTGTACGAAGTAAATCAAAACATCCAGCAGTACTTTGTCTTAATTGTGCATTTCAACTGTTTGCACATGTGCTGATATTTGTTTGAGTGTATTTGGTGACTATAATATGAATTGTATTCCATTCTCTGTTTTATTTTCCTGTTATGTTGAATGAAATTGGTTATTAATTCATATTTGGTTTGACAAGTCTCTGCATGTGCATAAATAATCATTTTCTACCACAGTCAGTTCATCTTCCCTTCATCCCATCATGCCAACCTTTTTTTCTTGTTTATCTCTCCATGCCCCCTTTTCACCTCCCTGCATCCTCCTGCTTCCAATTCCCATTATTCCCAGTCCATTCCCTTTGAAGCCCTCCAAGATCAATAATCCTAATCTGAGAACACTCTCTCGGTAAGCATAAACTCAAGGCAATGTTTTTCCTGGTTTATTTATTCAATATTATGAGATACCTACAATAGAAGCAGTTTCTTTCAAAATAACTTTTTTCAGTTTGGTTACATTCTACAGATAAAAAGTTTTTGTTTTTGTTTTTTCATATCGTAAAGGATATGAGAAAAATGTATTATGCATTTCTTTACAGTAACCCTGAAACCCTTACATAACATTTAATGCAACCAATTGGCTTGAAAAGTTTGCTTGATTGTTAAAGAGTCCATCATGTGCAATTATAAACAAACACCATCAGGATCACACCATCAGGGTCTCAGAGTAGTGGAGAATAGAAACAAAAGCACTTTTTGTCAGTAAAATAATTAGAAAATGTTTTTATGCACTTCAGACTTTCCACTTGAAACATAAACTATAAAAAAATTGAAGGAAAATGACTTGAATTTTGAAACATTTCATATCTAAAACCATTTCATTGGCTGTCTTAGCATCTAACCCATCATTTTTGCTTCTCATTATGGGCTTAGACAAACTGAGTCAGGTCAAAACGTTCTGCCTTTGCTTTGCAAAAGATGACAGTAACTATATTGATAACATCTGTTGGCAGATCTGGTGAAGCACAACACAGTGCAACAAAAAAAATGTGCTGATGCAGTCACATTTAGAGGCTGTCCTTTCTGCCACTGTCAATATCATCACTAGTATTTATCACATGCATGCCTTGTCAGAAAAATATTAAACTAGTGTTTGCTGTTACTTCAACTATTCCAGAGCACAATGGCAGATATTGAGGTTCTTTGTGGTATAATCTTGCAGATGACTCTTTGTCAATTCTGTTTTTAAAATTTTAAGTTATTGTTACATAGGAATAATAATCATTATATGATAATATATTATTATTATTATTATATTGACTCTCCGTTTTTCCATCAGGGAGTTCTTAGGGCAACTGCAGCGCTATAAATCCTTCTTCAATGCATTGCCAGAGATGCTGTGTGAAGGGGAGTATATAGTGGACGACTCCACCTGCTGGGGCGGTGATGGTGTCGTAGAAAGGTAAGAGAAATCTTTTCAGGGTCTCCATTGTTTGCATCACTGATTAACTTGTGTTTTTCAGTGACAAAGCACAAACCTACTTTCTACGTTTGACACAAAAAATTAACATCACATGTGGTTTAACTTCTAATATATGATTTACTTTTCTTAAAAGTTAGATGCTTAATAGCTAGCTGTGACAATATTTTTTTTTTTCTATATCTTGATTTGAGAGCTCAGGGAGGAAGGTTTGAAAATTGTCAGGCTGAGAGTCAGTGTGACTGGCTGCTGTTAATCACTGTGCAAATAAGGAAGTTATTATTATCCATCTCCCTATTGACTGAATGCTGGCGGGACAAAAAGTCATAAGGCTCTGGTTTTCTTTGTGTTTGTGTCAGTGATTGAATTGTTTTCTGCTGAGATTTTTATTTTGTGCTGATTTATAGATATAGCCTTGGAACTGTTTTCCTGCTGATGGTTTTGGGTGCATCTCTAAGAGACCAGAGGGCTTGCTCAGTGTGTGGTTCTCCTGCCTCTCACTCAGCATATGAAGAAAATTATGCCAATTACTGAGCCAACACAAATCTGTAATTGATTCTGAATTCTGGATCAGTTTCTTAAACACTCTTGAAACTACCTCCACAGCTATGACAAGGTCTCGCTATCCAATTTTTAACAACCACAGTAACTTCAGTTCAATTGGTACTGCCAGAGCACACAGAAAAACATACAGATCCCATGGATTCATTTTTCCCTTGTGTGCGTGTTGTGTGCGTGTGTGTGACTTTATGATTTTTCCCTTGTTCAACATCCGGGTTTGGCCTGGCTTTACTTATGTACTTGGTAAGACAATGCGCTCAGCAAAGAGATGCACTGGATGTTGGTTTTTATTGTGTTTAGTGACTGGTTACAATTTCTCCTCTTTTCCCCTCATTCTCTTCCACTTAACAAGCATTGGATGTCTTGTTAAGATACCCAATGCATTGCAAAAGTATTAATGGCTCTTGGCCTTTTTTATCATTTCCTTTACTCTGGTGCCCCTGAATAATGTTGTTTTGCTTAGGTTTATGTGGTTTGTAAAACAGGTTTAGTGAGGTCATGAATAAAGTCTTGAAAAGTTTTAAAGATGATGTTAAGCTTTAAGACATCTCAATCTTTGGACAGCTCACAGAACATTGTTCAATCTTTCATTTGACAATGGAAATAATATCAACAAACAATCACAAATTTACCAAAACACGACTGTCTACTTAAATTAACAGCCCTGGCAAGAAGAACATTAGTCAGGGAAGTAATTATGTGACCTATGGGGGGAAAAAAAAGTATCCCAGTGGTGAAGTATGTTGGTGGCAAGAGTATGCTGTGAAGATGCATTTTCTTTGCATCTTCATAGCAAAGAAAAAGCATTGCTATGAAGATGCAATGCTTCTTCATAGCAATGAAGAATATACATGCAAAGTATATTTGCAAGGTATTTTGCACTTTGCAAATATACTTTTGCAAGGTGCTCTATTTGAACATACTACCAGTTAACTGGGCCCGTGGCAATATTTTAGTATATAGTGATTATTTCTGTTTTGGAAATTTATGATTTTAAAACCTATCAAGAAGGGAGAATGGAGCATCAACATTTATTTTTCAACTTCTGCAAAAGAGAAATACAGCAAGTTCCCTCCTTTGTCTTTTTGGACAACCACTTGTGAATTGAGTTTGTGTCATTTATTCCCAAGTGTGTTGGTTTTTCATTAACTGTACTACAGAGCTGTAACAGTGTGTTATCACACACTCCCTGCTGATTGCCAGGTCATTGCTTGTGGTGTCAAGTGTTTCTGGTTTGAATGAGAAAACAGTGCCCCACTGAGACATTTGGCAACACCCACGAGCCTTGCTCCTTCAGTTCCTCTCTTTCCCTGTATCTGACTCTGTTGGCATTCATGACAGAGAAAGGAGGACAGAGCAAGGCATGATAAAAGAGTCGTCATTTTGGTGCCGTGGTGCCCCCTTTGGGTTGGGGTGCCCCTGATGAGGCAAGTATGTTGGAGTGAAAGTGTGGAGGGGGGCCTTGTCAACATAAAGACCCATTGTGGAGTCAGTAGAGTGGGGCACAGTCCCGCTGTGGAGACCCCCAAAGCATGGAGGGGGAACAAAGGCCCTCCTATGAGTCTGCATGGGAAAGACTTGGACATCACTGCCATAACTTCTCCCACTGCTTGGACCTTTCTTGGGAAAGCAACATCAGAACAACAGTAATACAACCAAAAGTAGCAGTGATGTTGTGGAAAAACAAGAAACATATTAGGAAGATTTCAATGCAGCAGTGATTAACAAGAGCTCAGGGGAAACAGATCCAAAACAGAGATGCAAACAGAGAGGTGTGAGTCCACACCAGTGCTCCAATGACAAGCTGGTTTTCCCTAAGCAAGAGATGTATCAATCCACATGGGATCCATAAGCTTGTGAACAGCTGGGAGTTATTCACAAGGGCTCAGATGAGGAGCATGCATCCGCAGACAGACACACAATTTAAACTTCAAAGTACTTGAAAGACTTTTGAGGTTGAAATCCCCTTCTTCTCTTCATTCAACATTTGATGACAGAGTTGTGAACGGGGTGCCAGCAGCTGTAAAGGGTATCTCGACATCTGTTGACATCTCTCAACCTTTACACCATCGTAGGTTTTTTTTTTGTGTGTGAATTGCATGTTTTCAGGAAAATCAGGATCAAAATGATAATGATGATTTTTTTTTTTTTTATTTTTTATTATTTTTTTTTATTCTGTAGATTTTTGGAACAAATTATGACTTATAAATTGAGTGAGTTCCTACCTTTTTGAGGCACTTTGGTACTGACAGTGTTTATTTTTAACTAATCCTATAGATCTAAAAAAATTTGTCAGTTTTGTCAGTCCCGATTCAGCTTTGAAATACTATGCATGTCACTCTGGATGAGATGACATTTCACATAGTGCTTTTACGTAGCAACTGTGCAAAACTAACAGTTTTTACTGTATCCAAACAAGAGATGTTACTTTTGCAGTAACAGTAAGCAAACTAATTTAATTTTGTTTTCCATGTTAAACTATCAACTGATATGAAAAGGTTGAAAGTGAAATGCTCACTGAGTCCCCCCAATTAGCACTTGGTTACTCAAAAGTGATATACAAATAAAATTGGATTGATTTAATTGATTGATTGATAAGTATTACCAAAAGTATCTAATCAGAAAGATATCAATTTGAATTTTGCAGTCTTCTTTGGTATGTTGATGTGGAAAATGAGATAAATGCTCCCACACTATGGCACAACACAGCACTTGGCTGCTTGCCCCTCTCTGATACAAATGTACAGTCATCAGAGTATTTCTCCAGATAACAAGACTTACTTGAGTTGGATGTTTGAGGTGTACAGAGTGAAAAGAAATTGTGAAAGTGACGTCCCCTGAGGTGTTTCTGTCAGTGTTTTGAAAGGCAGAATGTTTTCCAAAGCACATGATCCTTCACCGGGTTCATGTTAAGGTTGAAGATTTACTGCAGAATCCCAAAGAGTTTGTTCATATTTGCTGTGAGCGCATGGGACCCCAACCTTTTGGACCTGCAGCCTTGTTGTGGTTAAATCTCACCTCTTCGTTTGGGACAGACTGAAAAAACATGGGAGTGGAAGAGACCCCCGGCTCATCTGCTGATTTGATTGAAGACAAAGATACAGAGTGAAAAACTACCTTTGACTGTGGTTAAAGATAAATCATTAGAAGTATGACAGGAAGGCTCAGGATCAAGAGAAGACAAAGTTGGCTTTGGTTGTTCCTGAGCTGATTATATTGAAGAATGTGTTAGTATTATCCAGACTACCATTTCCCTTCCTGCTTTCCTGGGTGTCACACTCCTGGGGGATATTTTAACACTCGCATAAAAAAGTCAGACAGGTGACGGGATCCGACACTCAGTCTTTTCACAGTTTTAAATTGCCGTCATTCAATTTCTCCAGACCTGCTGTGTCTGCACTGAAGCTGCTTGCCTCCTCTTTCTCTCCCATTCTCGGTGTTCGTTGAAACACACCAGCTTCGAGTGAGGCCAGCTGATCTAACATCAGGCTCTAACAATACCGATTATGATGAGTAGAATGGTTTAACCCCCCCACATACACACCTCTCTACCTCTTCTCCTTCTCCTTGTTCCTGTTCAGTATTCTCAATAGTTTATCACAAGCAAACAAACAGTCTTCATCATAACAATAGTCCAAATAGCAAGTAGAGACAAAACTCTTCCTTCAAACTACACAATTTCTCAGTTTCAATAACTTTTTAAAAGGAGAGTCAAAACAAAATTTGCAACAGAGTTTTTCCAATGACCTGCTATCTTAGAAATTGGTGGAGTTCTAAAATACCGTAGATTACATTCCTCTGAGTATTTTGATCTGTGAGGGGGAATCATTTATTACACAAATTAGCAAGTGGTTATTTTAATGTTTTTCTTTTTCTTTTTTAATGTTTGTGTATAATGTGAGACTGATATTTAGAGTTATTTGACACTTCAACCATGTAGAATTTTAATTTATTCTAAGATTGCTTTGTACATTCTGGTGTGTTGCACATATGTGATCTTCAGAACACATGAAAAAAGTAATAACTCAGCACTCCTCTTTGGGGTTGAGTCCAAAGACTTGAGATTAAGACAAAGAGATGGTCCACAGACAATACAGCACTGCAAGTGCTTCTGAATGCCTTGCATTTTTATAAGGTTATGGCAGTCCATTTGTTTATCATTTCAACATCTGGAATCTATTTCGCTCATTGTGTGGAGAAGCAGGAAGAACGGTGCGCTGGGCACCCCTCACACTCCACTCCCTTCTGTTCTGTCAAGTCATACGTTTTGTCTCCCCCGGCTTTTCTATCAGTCTCCTCAGTCTCTTGGGTTGAAAGGAGCTTAGTTAAAAATTTTGAGAATTCATCAAAACGGCTTGCATAAGTTGAAAGGATAATAAATTAGTGTATATTTGAGGGAGAAAAAACATTTAGCACTCAAA